TCCAGTGATCACATAGATTATAAAGTTAGTCTTTGTAATCCTAAACAGGAAACCTATTTTCTTCTCCACTTTTAGGTTGTTATGCAATGCATGTTTCAGAAAGAAAAGGGGAAAATTCATGCGTCAGCAGGTGCGGCGGGCCATTTTTGGCTTTTTTTCTCATAAATTGTTTCTCCAAGTCCCATTGCTGACTCAATTCTCTCCACTATGTAGGCAGCCTTTGCTGCTGGCAGCTGAAAAGGACTTCCAGTCTGTCCTGGAGCCTTAGATTACAGGTGCAAGTATGAGAAACCAGCAAGATTGATTATCTCCAGTTGTTTTCTCAAATGGCTACAAGTAGCATTATAATGTAAAACTGTGCCTAGGAGTTTACAGCAATAGCCTATGCTAAAACGTGTAATAGGCTTACTCATGTTATGTCATCAGTGAAGGGACAGAGTTCCAAAGCATATAGGATTAATGAAGTTATAATGGCCTTTCATTTCTACTTAAATAAAATGAGAATTGCCTGAAACGACTTTATTTGTAGTTTCTGAATGTAAGCGCCTAGTTCTGCATTTTGGAATGAGGTGGACTTGCATTATTTAGTAGAAAGGTGCCCAAGAGACTTGAGGAAACTTGACGGGGAAACAAAAGTGATTTATCTTTAAAATATAGATAGAGTAGAAATATTTTGTAGTTCTTTCATGGGGGGTTATTTTCATGAAGAATTGAAAGAGAAAAAATTTAGGAGGGAAGATAAAGGAAGAGCAGTGGAGGGGTGAATTTTCAAGTATGATATATTTGGATATATTATAAGACCTTCGTAAATGCTAAAGGTACCCCTACCCAGCCAACAACAACAAAAAAATCAAAACAAAAAAAAAGAAAAGTTAAGCAAGAATGTAAATATCTTCTTATTTCAGAATCAGAATAATGTTTAAATAAGTCTGCTATCCAAGAAGTTAAAAGTTTAGAGTTGTCAGAAAATGACTAGACTAATTAGAGTAAGGGAAAATTTTTTTTTCCATGTACATATATCTTTGTTTCATAGCTGAGCATATTTAATACTCTTAACATCCAAAGTTAAGCCAACAAATTAAAATGTTATCGAAGAATGTCCTTCTTATTTGAGATAAAATGGCCAAAATTGGTTGGTAGCAATGTGGAAATTCAAATTCAGTACTCCAGTGTGAGGTTCTTGATTGATCAAGTCTCACTTTCTAATTGCATTTTTTTAGAAAATACAATTTTGGTGTCCCTGTCTCAGTGCTATCACAAGGCAGTGTTGAGAATCTTAAATTTAAATCACTTATTTTTTAATTACGGTTTTAAGCTTTTATTTCATTGTGAGCTTTGTCTAAACAGTGTTCAACATTTTGCTAAAATAACACAATGAAAAAATATATTATTTCCCAAATGGTGGCATCTGAAACAGTCTATTAAGCAATCTGCCAGTGCATGATTCCTTTGAGAAACTAAAACAGCTTTCAGACTGAATTGTCTCTCCAGGTAAAGAAATAAGCTTCGCACAAAAGGAAAACAGATTTCTGAAAAATTCAGTACATGAAATCCCTTAGTTGATACAGTGGCTTAAAATGGAATTGAATTAAAATAATCAATTTAAAAAGTAACTTTATTTTGAGATAATCACAGATTCATAAGCAGTTGATAATTGCACATTCACATACAGTTGTAAAAGTAACACAGCGAGAACTCAGATGATCTTCACCCATTCTCCCAATGGTGATGTACTGTATAGCTTGTAATCCATTATTTAAAACAAGATTGATGTGAAGAAAATTTATTTATCAGATTTAATGACATGGATGACACATTTCCCCTTTTAAATTACAAACCAATTTCTTTGCAAAGTAAGTAAGAAAATTTTCCAGGACTGGAAAAACATAAGAACTACGAAAAATGAAAGATTCAATGAAAAAGAACACTTGAATGTTTTGGTAAAACTTGACTTTCCATTCAATGTTAAACAAAAATCATATTTAATGTTCATTATTTTGGGAGTAAATCCAACCTATGCTTATTATACAGTATGATAATAAAGGGGACAGATTTTAAGGGTGAATCACCACTTAGGGCATGATTTGGGGTCAATGCTTTCCTTTTCTAAACCCCTTTCATCACTGGAAATGTGTAATAAAAGTTCTCTCCCTTGGTTGTTGTTAAAATGAGGCAAACAGCTCAAGATGTAACAGGGACATGGTGCTGAATAGCTCAGGTTTCCTTTGCTGAGTATCTTCCTGGAGCTCACAGTCTAGTGGGAAGCAAAGAGAGGAGGAGGAAAGAGGAACTGATTTCTCTCTTAAAGTGAGGAAAAGACCAGGAAACATGCATGTACAAATTGCTTTGTGCAAAAACAAGAGACAAAGATTATTTCAAGGCTACAAGGATCAGAAATGTTAGGAAGGGACTTTTTTGTTGTTAAATTCTGATTCTCTAAAGAAGAGATTTTCCAGAGCCATTCACCTGGGTGAGAGATCACATGAGACCAGATACTTAAGAACTGGGCAAATATTTCTAAATAGAGACCAAGTCCCCACATTTGACTCCTTTGCATTCTTCTCAGGGTGTTACCCTTGGGCATAGATCCAGCACTGTATGTCCAGCAAGGCAGAAGACCAACCAGTTTTATAATCCTTGAATCATCTGATTAGATAGCTGTGCTTTTTTGGAGAACCAAAGTATAAAGATGTGCAGACAGTGTGCATAGGTGAGTAGATAGACACTGAAAAAATTAGTGTCCAGATGGGTGGTGCCCAGTCTTATATGACTAGACAGATGATGACCTTTGTGTACATTTTCTTGACACAGTTCCCTGACTTTAACTCATTCACTGCCATTTTGGAATAAATTCTAAAGAGAATGTAATCATAGCTTGTGCAATATAATGAACTCCACTTCCCAATATTTTATTTAACTCGACTAATGGTAAAATATTCAACTAGTTAAAAAAAGCTTAACATACAGTGACATAATTAATGTTGAAATGAATTTAAAAATAGTTGCAAACTAGTGGCATTTGCCAATATTTGTAGGGCTATAATTATAGGCATTCTACTGGGTATAATTTGCACTTTTATGATAGAATTATTTGCACGACTGTAGTAGGTTGATTTCTAAGATGGCTAGCAAGATTTTTAGCCCTGATGTATCTGCCCTGTATAATCCCTACTCTACAATCCCTCACTTTGAGTGTGAGCAAGACCTGTGATGAGATAGTTGACTTTATCCTTGAAGCCTGGAGAGATTGTCCTGTTGGCTTTAACAAAGTCATCTGATATGCTGTGAAAGCCTATGGCTAAGACTTCGGGGTGGCCTGTAGGAACTGAGTGACCCCTGGCTGACTGCCAGAAAAACAGCACCACAACTGCAAGGAATGGAGGTCTTCTATAATCTTAATGCGTCTGCAAGAGAGCACTGAGGTACAGGTGAAAAACCTAGCCCTATTGACACCTTGGTTTCAGCCTTGTGAGACCCTGAGCATAAAACCCACCTCTGCTGTGCCAGACTCCTGGCACTGCATAGAAATTGAGAGATAATAGACAGGTATTGTTTTAAGCCAGCAATCTGTAGTTCTTTATTATACAGCAAGAGAAAATGAATACAATTACTATATGTCTTCTACATATTAAGTTTTATCTCTACAGAACTGTAAGAGCTTATTCATAGATGAACATAGATAAAACCTACACAACTGATAGTGAAATATTCAATTAAGTTCATTGCCGAATATGACTTTCTACATTGAGCTAAACTGTGCCTAAACTTTTACATTTGTGAACCTTTCACATCTACTGCTCTGCTTTATTTTTTGTTTTAACATAGTTTTTGGCCCTAGCCACACAGTAGGAACAATCAGCTTGATTGTGAGAGCAGTCTCCAGGGGGATTTACCTTCATCTTAAAGAAGGGAATGCAATTTTCTTTTCAGAGCGACATTAGACAAGACTTTTAAGGCTCTGCAAGTCCAGCAAGTATCAGCCACCTGTGTCTGATTAGACTGAATTAAAATGTCTTCAAGGTGTACAATGGTCCTGCCAGTCTTTGCAATCAATGGAAGCCAGTTCTCACTCGTGAGGATTCTGGGAAGATAAGCACAGTCAAGGATTATCAGATCAGAGAAATCATTACTTCTCAGGGATGCTGTCTTGAATAGAATGGACTTATGTGGAATTCTCAAATTGAATAGTCTGTAGGAAAGGTAAACTATGTGGTGTAAGGATTAGAAGCAGCAGAGGAAGAAACCTACAGGCTACATGGGACACTGAATGAGGAGCAGGTGAATGAGCTGCACCAACAGGAGGAGGTGGTCCTGGCACAACTGAGAGATAAGACAGCAGAGAAAGAAATGGTACAAATGTACATCTAAATTAGGTATTTCAATATGATTTTGTAGAAATCTCCAGCTTTTGCAAAAATTGGAAAGAAAAGTGTGATGCCGAGTGTATGTGTGGGGTGGTGATCCTTAGTAAAGCCTTGAAATATTACAGCTCTTACCGACTTCTGGATTCTCATCCCCGATTGTAGAGATCAGAAAACTGAATCACCTCATACAGGTAGTGAAGATTAAGTCTAGACTCTGAATCCAGCTCTCTTTAGTCTTAATCCAGTATGATCTCAACTTTTATCTACACAGCTTGTTTCCAAGAAGAAAATAAGTCAATAAATAAAGCAGCTGGAAGAAAGACTAGTGAGAATGGAAGAAAGTTAAATCGTTTGAGATTACTGGGGTGTAAATGATTCATAGACAAAGAGGAAAATTTGTGAAGTGAATAAGAGAGAAGCCATACTTCACAAAATGTTGGATAAAAAGTGCAAATAAAACAAAACCAACCAGCAAACAAAAAATCATGCACTTGGTGTGATGGTTGTCTATTGCTTCAAGATGAATTACCGCAAAACTTTGTAGCTTAAAACAACACACTTGCTATTTCAGCTTTGGTAGTCAGGAATCTGGGTTTGGGTCCTTTGGCTTCAGGCTGTTACAAGGCTGCAATCGAGATGCCATCTGGGGATGTGGTCCTAGGAGAAACCTGGACAGTGAAAGAATCTACCTCTCAGCAACATGCAATTATTGGCAGATTCAGGTACTCGGTAGCTTGATGTCCAGTGCCACTGTTTCTCACCACCTGCATTACTCATAGCGTAGCAGCTTGATTCATTGAAGAGGCAAGAGAGAATCTGCTAGTAAGGTGACAGTTATAGTCTTAGCAACACAATCATACAAGTGGCATCCTATTGTCTTTGTCATAATCTATTGGTTAGAAACAAGTCCCCAGTCCTGCCCACACTCAGAAAGAAAAGATCGACAAAGACATAAATAGCAATAGGTGGGGATCATTGGGGGGACATTTAGAATGAGCCCATCTCTATTAGTCATGGTTCTCTAGAGAAACAGGGCAGTAAAACAGATAGATATACATGTGCATAGTTGTGTAGATGGATAGATAGATAGGTATATAGACATAGATATAGATAGATACATAGGTATCTAAGAAGGGACTTACTATGGTATTGGCTCATATTATATGGAGGCTAAGAAGTCTCACAACAAATCTTCTGGAAGCTAGATTCCAGGGACATCAGTAGTATGACAGCCTGAGAAGCAGCAGGGTGGAAAATGGTGTAACACTTAATCAAGGCAAAGATCTGAAAACCAAAGTCGCTGGTACAAGTATGAGAGTCCAGTGGCTGGAAAACCTGGAGGTCTGATGTCCAAGGGCGGAAGGGGAATAAATTCTCTACCTGCAAAAGGAGAACAAATTCATCTTTCTTCTGTGTTTTGTTCTATCAGAGTCCCAACTGATGGATGGTGTCCACCCACATTAAGGGTTGATCTTCCCTATTCAGTCCACTGACTCATGTCCTAGAAATATCCTCACAGACACACAAAAAATAATGCTTTATCGGTTATCTAGGCATTCCTTAATCTTGGCAAGTAGATATCTAAAGTTAACCATCACATCATCCTATTGGAAAACTCAGGATTCCTTCAACTACACAAAAAATGGCTAAAGAGCCAATTAAGGGAAAAAATGTTAGTAAAATCACCTAGATTGAAAAATATGAGGGAAAAAAGAGCTCTAGATAATTTGGGATAGAGTATTTTACAGAATATTCAGAAAATGCAGGAGGGATTAGCCATATGTATCTCCTAAAAAAATGTGAAGTGTCTTTAAGAGCAGTTGATTTTAAGTTGAACTTAACAAGCCAAATGCTGCCTGTGACAGTGAAGGCAGTTAACATGGATGGAGGAAAACATTCTTCAAGACTTACATGTAGATGTTAAAGAAAACTTGGGACAGGGAAACAAGTTGAGTGGAAATGGGATTAGAGATTTAGGGGATTCTGATTATGGAAAGGGAGAATCAACTTCTTGATTTAGCATAAGAATAACAAAAAGAGGAAGAAACAATAACAGGAAGTTACAAAACAATAACAGAAATGGCAGGTTCCAAAGAAATAGAGAAGAGTCAGCTCCTGGGAGCACTGCTAAACTTAGTTTTCCAAGCTGGCTCTCCCCAAAGGCACTGTAGGCTGGTTAATAAAAAAGGCTTATTGTTCTGTTTCAGGAAACTTGCCAAATCCACTCTGGTCCTGGTTCTGGTCTTTGGAGTGCATTACATCGTATTCATTTGCCAGCCTCACTCCTTCACTGGGCTCTGGTGGGAGATCCGCATGCACTGTGAGCTCTTCTTCAACTCCTTTCAGGTGAACAGCAGTCTTATCATTTGGTCCTTGTAATTTGCTTTTATTCTCCCATGGTACCTCTTTCTCTGCCTGTCTGGTTTTTGATGCAGCTGTTTTCCGGAGGCCACAGAGGAGAATATTCTATGGTGCTTGTGATTTTCTTTCCTAGAGGTCAGGTTGATTCTTGGACCATAGCAAGATCAGCTCTGGAGCTGTTTCTTATACAAACAAGCCTGGATGGCAAAATATGTAACTCCTGCAGAGCAAAGACCTCTGCTTTTGTGTATGGAAAATAAGTGAAAGTAAAAGAAGGCAAATGCAGGGAAGAAAGGGAAAAAGGGAGACAACAAAGAGGAAAAGATTGTTTCTACTCATTTGAACTCATTTGAAACAGAATAATCATATCTCTCATGTGGATCACTCCTCACCCTACCACTCCAGCTGCCTTAAATCTAGCTTATATACAACAGTTGGAAGAATCTTAAAAACATTGATTCGATCATGTTACTTACTTGTCAAAAATATCCACATGTTTCCTATTACATTCAGAATAAAGTCCAAATGTCATTTCCTGGCATACTCAGCCTTTGTGATGTGGAGCCTGCCTGGTGCCCACCCCATCTCACATTAGGCTCCATGTAACCCAGTGTGTTCCAGCCACCTTACACACTATCAGTTCCACACCTTCTCCTCAAGGGTTCCCACTTACTGCTGTCTTTGTCTGTACTGCTTTTACCCCTGTATGAAGATTTCATACAGCTGGCTTCTTGTTGTCACTCAAATCAGTTGAAATGTTACCTCCTTGGAGAGGTCTCTGTTGAGTTCCTCATTGTTTTCTGTATCCACATTTATCTTACTTGCATAGCCCTTATTGCTTTGCTTTTTCTAATGTTTGTATTTCACCCAACTCTCTTCTCTTCTAGAACTGTTTTGTTTATATTGTTCATCCCTATCATGCTGAGAAGCACTTACCACACTCTGTTAGCTCCAAAGACATTTTTAAGTGAATGAAAAGATTCTTTGTGTTCTTACCATGTAATATCCTATGTTTTCAGTGTTTAGTATTCATGATGTATCAACATTTTAAGCAGAGGATGGGTATTTATGTGATCCTTGAATGACAATATAAATGAAACTAGTGTAACAGAAATCAGTTCTTTGTGTATCTTGGAGTACTTTATTCAGTTACTTGTTTGGTTCAGCTGACAACAAAAAAAGAACTCAAACAAATGTAATGGAAAGTTAAGAAATTGGAAACATGAGGAGAAAATAGTTTGTATAATTTTCTGAAAGAATCATTCAAAGCTGTCTTTCAACTCGCATTTTAACACAAGATTCTTTAATGCTGTGAGCCCTGTGAACTGTTGGTGAACTAACCACCTTTTTGTTCTGCAGGGTTTCTTTGTGTCTGTCATCTACTGCTACTGCAATGGAGAGGTAGGTCTGAAGGAACTCTGGATATCTGAGGGGTCTTGCTCCAAATAAGCTTGTGTTTTAGTCCATTTTGTCCTGCGATTTACAGAACACCTGAGACTAGATCATTAATAAAGAACAGAGACTTACTTCTTATAGTTCTATAAAAGCTGGAAGGTCAAGGTGCCCTCAACATCATCTTTGCTGCATCATTCCATGGTAGAAGGCAGAAGGGCAAGAGAGCTTGCATGAGAGAGAGAGAAAGAGATTAAGATTGAACTCACAACTTCAAGCCCTTTCCCAACTGGTATTCATCCGTTCATGAGGATGGAGTCCTCAGAATAAACACCTCTGTTAGGCCCCACCTCCCAACACTTGCATTGGAGATTAAGTTTGCAGCACAGGAAACTTGGGGGATACATTCAAACTATAGCAACTTGTAAGCGGCCATCACAATGTTACCTAAATCTCTTTAGAGACTTCCCAGGACTTATAAGACAGAATGGGTGGGAGAAAGGTGATATTTTAATCATAAATTATTTTGAGAAAGCAAGCATAACTGTTAAGATCTTCTTCTTCTAGCATTTTAAAATGTCAATTCAGTTACAAACCTTGGAATTAAAAATAACTTGTTCAAACACAAATTGATACTTGCACGGACAGGGAGCTTCATATTCCACTCAATACTGAAATTTATAGTCCCCTTCAATTTTGTTTTTCACTACTGGGGTTTAGACTCAGGGCTTTGTTTCAGGGCTTTGTTCTTTTTCTTTTTTCTGTTTATTTTGGCAATACTGGAGTTTGAACTCAGTCACTCAAGCTTGCTAGGCAGGTGCTGTACTACTTGAGCCACTCCACCAGTAATATATGTGTTTGTTCCTTCAAGTGGTATAAAAATGCTCAAATACAAATTTCCATGGGACAAATCCATTAAAATACTTTGATAATTTTCAAACTACAAGTGGTGATGGAACAATTTCAGTTCATTTAGGAGTTGGCCAGAGAGGAGTTTCTTATAGTCTGTAGCATATCCTGCTGTTAGATGAATTGCCACCTTGTTTCTTCTCAAATTTTCTACTTGATGTAAGTAAGTCCCAGAAGGGCAAAGATCCTGATTATTACTGTGGGTCACCAGATGCTTCTAACCACATTTAGGGTTTGGACATTGCCCTAAAAAGCTTAAATTAAGAACCAACATGTTAATATCCTGATTTATGTCTGAATTGTTCTTACCTTATTTTGTGGGAGTAGATCAGGTGTTTCTTTTTTGCCAAGATGAACAGACAGACAGTTGTTGTTTCAGGTGACACCATCTCTGGTTTCCACTGCTTTCCTGGGAACTTTCCACAGGGCTTCCTCTGGAAATGGGTAGTAGCATAGCTTGGAATCTTCAGTAGCAGGAAGGAAAACAAAAGTCCCATCCTATCAAGAGTGCAGTGGCAGTACCTGCTTTTCTATCCACCACCCTTCCTTCTTCATTTCTCTTCCTTCTTTTTGTCCATGCAGATCAACAGTGTGACAGTTATATTTCAAGCTGAGTGCTTTCCGTGTTGTTAACCTCAGGCTGGTGTCAGAATTTAAGTGCTAAAAGCAGATTTTATTCAGTAACTACTGAGAGCAGAGGAAAGAGCTAAGCTCAGCTCTGACTTGGGCAGAGGGTGTTTCAGAGGGAGAATGAGTGTGGGGGGAGTGTTCTGGGGCTTGGTACAATCAGAAGTACATAAGAACAGAGCTGGTCAGTGTGGATGTGGCTAGGCCGGCTATGTCTGCTAGCCACAGTTACCTAAGTTAGAGCTCCAGCCTCCCACGGAGACTGGGACACAGAGGCCCCATTCTCTTGATGATTACAACTCAAAGATGTGTCTCTCAGGCCCCTGCAAGAAGCTTTTGAGTTGCTCATACTACAGATTTACAATTTTGAGCCCTTTGTAGTAAGTGTCCTAAGAAAGGGGGTCAGGGAACAACTATTGGAATGCTAGCTCCCACAAATAGCAAACTTTCCCGACAGAATTGAGCTTTCTCAGGCAGGCACTTTAAGGGGTGAGAGGTCATCGTAGGGATGCAACTTAGTTCTGCTAGAAGCTATAGGAGAGTTTGCTTAGGCCTCGTTAGTGTAGGAGGTTGATGGAGTAGTCATCGGCATGTCATTATTTAACTCTTTTCTCCCCCAGCTGGAATCCTCTTTCTTTTTTTTTAATCTCCCAAAGGTAGATATTTTTATTAGCTGTATTTCAGCTTCTATTTAAATACTAACCTTTGACCAAGCCGTGGTTTGCTGATTCCAAAAATAACAGCTCTGAAGTTCCTAGCACAGAGAGACCTCAATCAGTTATTATTACTCCCATTGAAATCAAGGCATTTGTCCTTGTTACAAGGTTGCAAGGTCTCCCATGTTACTCCTGACACCCTTCTTTCTTGTGGTTTAGGTTCAGGCTGAGGTGAAGAAGATGCGGAGTCGGTGGAATCTATCCGTGGACTGGAAAAGGACGCCACCTTGTGGCAGCCATAGATATGGTGGCTCAGTGCTCACCACTGTGACTCACAGCACCAGTAGCCAGTCCCAAGCCGGGGCCAGCACTCGCCTGGTGTTCATCTCTGGCAAATCTGCCAAGACTGCCAGCAGACAGCCTGACAGCCACATGACTTTGCCTGGTTATGTCTGGAGCAGCTCAGAGCAGGACTGCCTGCCACACTTCATCCAGGAGGAGACCAAGGAAGCGCCTGAGAAAAAGGGAGATGACATTCTGTTGGAAGAGTCTTCCAGGCCATTGGCATTCACCCTTGACACTGAGCGATGCAAAGGAGAAACTGAGGATGTTATCTAAATCAACACTTGTGGTTTTCATGGGCTGGTCAGTCTGGGTGTTTGAGAGGAGGTTGGCTGCCATTCCTTTCTTGAGTCCAAAGGCTGAGAAATTCAGGGTTGAGATATTGCTTAAAAATTTTTCATTTGTCCTATAAATACTGAGACACAAAAGGGGAATTATCAGTGGAGAAGCTCATTGCCTTACTTTGGCATCAAATTCTTTACTAAATTGGTGTGGGATGCTTGCTCTGATTGTTCATTTTCCTGCTACTTTTGGGTAGAAAAGGTTTCAATTGCTTGGGTCTAGCTTTCTCTCATGAATGTCATCCTAAATATGGTAGAGATTGTTTAGTATGCATCATTTTCCTTGAAAAGTATCAGTACTCTTTTTTTTATTTTCTCACTTTAATGTACTTCTGGCATTGCTCTCATTTTGCCCACGCATAGGTTGCAGTTAGGGTCTGGAGAATGTGTGGAAAGATTAAAAGTCTAAGAACAAGTACATGTTTGAAAATTAGTTGCCTGGACATTAATAAGATAATACATTTCTGATCATTATGATTGATTCTTTATAGGAGCAAAGAAAATTGCTCAAACATGAATATTCCTAATACCTCTCTTCTGAATGCCCCTTTTGAGCCCAATCAAACCTCAGGCCTCCAACTCCTCTGCAAATCATGATGTGTCAAAGGTTTTCTTAGTCATTCAGATTGTGTCTGCAAAGTGATTCTGTTTGTACTCATTTATACTGAAGCTAAATTACACTGCATCTGTATCTTTTTCTTCTTTGTTCTGTTATAGATGCCATGTAAGATAAATTAAAAGTTTGTTTTAAAAAGCATTCTGAATCACTTTTTAAAATCTCCTTTCAACATCCCACATTACTGATGGGAGCCAACCAAACTTCCCTTCTCCAGATCTTCCCATGCTTTACTGAACTTGAAATTTTAGTATATGCAAACTTTATTGAGTGCATGTCTCTGGGCAGGCATCCTGTTAAGTTTTTACAAGCATTAACCTATTTAATCCTCAGTACAAACTAAGGCGTAAACATTATCACTGGCACTTTTTCTTTTATAGATGACTCACACAGGTGGAATAACTTGTTCGAAGTTACACAATGAGGCTTTGAACAAGTGTGGTTTCAGATCTATTGACTTCCAATCCCAGGTTCTAAAAATCGTTAGCTGTACTATCACTAACATATCTACAGCCCACTATACACCAACTTATTTCATGAATTCCTTCTGGGTTAAGAGTGTTTTAGGAACTTGTAGTATGTTTTATTCCTACCCTCATATTGTTTCCATTCTAGTGAAGAGGACAAATGTATCCAGGAAATAAAAAGTATTGCATAGCAATGTATTTCCAGGTAAATCAGTACAGTTCAAGCTAATCGTGTGAGTCTATGTAGCGATTTAACCAATACTCAATAGCGTTATAATTATTCATGTGCTCTGATATCTGCATGCCTTTTGAGAAACATTACATTTTTTCTATGCATTGTTCCTTCCTTCTCTTTAACATAGTCTAGGTTATTTCCTCCTCTTCCTGTCTGTGAAGATGCCATTGCACATACTTAAGTCATCTGATCGATCTGATATTGTCACATCCCTGGGCTGCCTCCCCATGAGGAAGAAACCATAATAGGCTGAGTCAGAGATTAAATTCAGTTCTATTGCGAATTTTCTGCAAAGTTTTTATAAAATCAGTTAGATTCTTTTATAATTCATTTTAAAAGTGAAGGTGTCAGTGTACTTCAAAGAGATGTTCTGATAGGTAAGAGGAATCACATATTGAAAGTGCTCCGTGGCCTAAAAATTCTACGCAAATAGCATGGTTTGGATTATTGTTTGATTATTGTTTTCAGCTAAATCTTATTTTGCTTTCTTGTATTATAAAAGCCCCCTGTGGTCACTGTAGTGGGATAGGAATTACTAGAATAGATACATTTTGAAGTATGGAAAATATCAAGTTCTTACTCTCTAAGTCAACTCCAAATTCTAAGGATACTTAGAATTTGCACTACTTCTTTTTTATTAACAGGTATGAATAGAACACTCAGAGTTACTAAGGTTTTCCTCAAATTTGCTTATTCAGTTGTTCAACATTTACTTAGAACGTGTGATGTGACAGGTCCTATGCTGTGTGCTGAAATCGTGAGAAAGAATAAAGCATAATCCATTCCTTCAAGGCACAAAGAACCACTTGATTGCCAGCGCTCTTTAATCTCATAGAAGTATACACATATTTCTTTCTTCTAGCTTTTCATGGTGTTCATAATCAATAAGAGAGCTAGGACAATACATTTTCCATGCATTTTTTTTATCAAGTAAAATACTGGGCTGATCTAGATCCAAGGTTGCAAATTACTGGCCAATGAGCTAATTTTGCTTCATAGCTATATTCTATTAACTAAGGTAAGAGGGTTGGAAATATTGTTATTTAGTCACCAACATCTAAAATTTGAGTGATATTATATAAAATTATGTTTTCTGAGTTATGAAAATACCAGAAGTTCTCATGAGACAAGCTGGAACCAGTTAGTAGCTTGCCTCTTCAGACATGGCAGGGGTTCAAGTTTGCCTACTGCCTAGCTGGCTTTGTATACTGACTTCCATTACTTTCTGTGTTTCGGATACATTTGAATTTTTGAATATATTTGAACCATATCCCTTGAGAATTAAGCAATAGTTTTCCAAAATATTGTTGAGGAGTGATAGCCCACATAGTTTATATTTTTTCTAATGAAATCGAGCAACTGATTGTCTTTAGATGTAATGCTATTTAATTGAAGCTTGAAATACTAACAGTTACTCTGTTTAAATGAGCCTGTTTAGTGGAAAGTCCATCATAATTTTTGTATTCACACTTCAGATCCCAAGATCTCAAACAGACTATTCAAACCTGAACTTTATTTTTTAAAGACACAGTCTCACTGTGTCTCAAGGTGACCTGGAACTCACTGAATAGCTGAGGTTGCCCTTGAACGCAAGATCCTCCTGCCTTAGCTTCCATAGTGCTGGGATAATGGCTATGTGCCACCACACCCAGCTCTCAAACCTCCACTTTCTAAGCCTTACTCCAACGTACTTATTGCTAATGTAAAAAATGTATTTCTCTTTGAAAATATGGCAAATTGTAGATGCAAAAGGTTTGACTGGTAGGATGGGCGATAACGATATGTTTAGGTAGGCTTGCATGGCTTATTTACATGAATATTTATTCTATGTTTTTCTTGTGACCAAAAGAAAGCCTGATGTCAGAGATAATCAATTCTTATTGACCAGTGTAAGCAGGAATGTTTGTGGCACATATCTCTTTATTGCTCCTGTTAAATAATATGAAAACAAATTTGGTTGGCAGAACTTAAAGTTGTCAACTCTCCCCCACCACAATAACCTTGTTTTTGAGCTTTAGGAAGAAAATGAAAAAAGTATGTGTGAGTATATTACGTAACTCAGAAATAATCTCTCTTGGATTGTGTGGTAGGCAGAACACTGATCTCCAGAGATGTCTACATACTAATCCTCAAAATCAATGACTGTATTAGGTTCTATAGTAAAAGGTAAACACAGGTTGCAGATGGAATTAAGAGTTGCTCATCAGGTGACTTTAAAATAGGGAAATTATCCTAGGTTATCTAGGATAATGTTCTACAAAGAACATTAAATGTGGAAAAGAAATGATAGGATGTAAAACTTGACCTCTTGTGCCTGACTTTGAAACAGGGAGAGAGACTTTAGACCAGGGAACATTGGCAGCCTATAGGAGCTAGAAAAGGCAAAGAAAACTTCTCCTGCCAAGCCTCCAGACAGGAAGACAGCCCTGTTGACAACTATTTAAGTCCAGCAAGACTCTAGATGGACTTTCATCCTACAGAACCATAGGACAAAAATATATGTTGATTAAGTACCAAGTTTGTGGTAATTTGTTATGGCAGCCATAGGAAACTATCATGGAATTTCATACGGATTTCCTATATGAAAAGAATTCGAATGGTTGATTGGAATTATGCTGTTTTATTGCTATTTGCCTGGTTGCTTCATGGAGATCAATTATTTTGCCAGTTCTATAGCATTTCATATGCTGCACTTCTAAGGGAGGAAGCTGTCTAGCTTGCTATTTGACTATAACTTACATGCACCAGCAATTGTTTTATCTTGGAAGTATAAATATTGTATAGTTCAATTTGTTCAAAATCAGAGGAAGGCATTCCTAGCTTTTCTAAAGAGTTTTAAACATCTAGTTTTATGGGCTGGAAATCGTGTTTTTCTTTAGACCTGCTCTGCCTACTCCTCCAGTGTTAGGTCCTCTCCCTGTAAAACACATAGAATCATTTTCACTACAGCTCTGCTTTGTGCATCTGGGGAATTTATTTTTAGTATATTTTATCATTTACAAACACTCCTCAGTTTATGAAGGGGTTGCATCCTGATAAACCCATCATAAGTTAAAAATGCATTTAATAAACTTAAACTACCATACACTATAGCTTAGCCTCATTTACCTTAAAATATACTCAGAACACTTACATTAGCCTATGGTTGGGCAAACACACCTGACACAAACCTATTTTACAATAAAGCATTGATTACTACATACAAATTTTTGATTATTTTACTGAAAACTAGAAGCAGAATGGCTATATAGGAATGGTCTTTTACCATCATAAAGTTGGAAATTCCTAAGTTCAGCCATCAAATAGGAGACTATCTGTAATCACTGTAATGCACTATGGTTTTATTATCCCCATTTCAAAAACACAGAAACAATTAAAGAAGTTAGGTGATTTGCTCCAGATCAAAGTGATTGAACCAAGTTGTGTTTGACACCAAGGCCCTTGTTCATTTGTTCACCAAGAGTCTACCATCAAGCCAAATCAATAAGGAAATAAATGAGAATTGATTTAAACTATTTTGATCATAGAATTACTAATAATGATGATAATGTGAAAAGCAATAATAATATGATTATAGTTGTGGATAAAAGCATTTTTATCTCCCAGGATTTCATGGC